GAAGATCTTCAGGAAACTTTTTATAACACCGGTTTGGCCCAGTCTGCACACTGAATTTTCCTGCCTTTTTAACACTGTTGTGGTTACAAACTTGTCGCAGCTGATTGGGTAACACCTGAGACATGCCCACCAAACGGGAGAAAACATACCTCGAAGCCCCTTGCAGAACGTTGCGCAACGTTTTGTTTGAGGCACCACCGTTTCCGTTGAAAAAAATGTTTTTCTACGTTTTGTCGATGCTGAACTCGCCCACAGACAGCGTTCACTGCAGCTGACCGACCAGCGTAAACTGAAAAATAAAAACTCTTGAACACTGGCCAGTTCAGCCTGAAATGGAGCGGCCGTTTGTGATTGTTCCCAAGATTCCCCACGGCCAATCCAACCCTGCACATAACTCAGAAGAGAGCTTGCGGTCCGTTGGATTTCAGGTGTAAGGCTGCGTTCCAGGCAACTCGGAACTTGTAAATGTCCAACTTCCAACTACAAAAAGTACTATGGAACGCCACTCGAAGTCGGATTTATTACTTAAAAAAAATATGTACCCCGACTTCACGAGTAGCAGCCGAATGACAACACACAACAATGTGTTTTTTTAAGTGACCGGCTGAAGAGCTTAAAAACAAAAATCTAAAATATTCATAACAAAATAGAATTACTATTTGGGATAAAAGACCTTCTGAGCCGTTCAGTAGAACACCGGGGCATCTTCAGTCGGCCACTAAAGGAACTACTAAGTGGACTACTCACTGTGGAGTGGATGGTCTACAAGATCCATGATATTCTTCAGTTTGGCACTTGTTCTCATACATAAGATGATCTCCAGTGACTCAGGGGCAAGGCCAATCACAGAGCCAGCCTTTTTAATCAACTTATTGATCCTTTTTTTATCGTCTACAGGAATGCTGCCTTCCCAGCAAAGCACAGCATAAAAAAGAACACTAGCTATAGTGCCTTGATTAAAAGTATAAAGCAGTTCCCCTTCGAGGGAACTCTAACTGCGTCGGTGACGACACTATGGGAACGCCTCTGGGCGTGGCAGGGCTGAACATGAATGAAACTACTCCAATCCTATTGGTGTTGCTAGAACAGTAGCGTGTGACGGCGTAACTGGAGGCGTATATAAGCACGCCGGCACACAGGACTGGATGAGCGCTTTTTGCAGCGCTGTGCGCCACCTCCGCACAGGTCTCTGCCTTTTTTTCCGGACTTGCATGATTGTGCAAGTCCTGGGGCAAGCCCTTCTCAGCTCGTCTGACTACTCCCCCGCTCCGGGTCTATAGTGACGTAGCGGGAGTCAAGGGTTTTGGCTATGGGATGATGCCCCGGGTTGAGGATGCTTTGGCTAGCTATCTTTCGCCCGGTCATGCATCATCCCTCAAGGAGCCGGCGCTACCTACCAAGCCATGTCATATGACATCTGCTTTGGTGGGCAAAGCTTACATGGCGGCAGGCCGGGCTGGTGCAAGCCTGAACGGTGGTTTTGCAGGCATACCAGGCCGACCTGCTGAAGGACATAGACTCGGGAGCAGGCCCCTCTGAGGAGGGTATTGCTGAGCTCCGCCAAGCTACGGACTTGTCACTTAGAGTCACGAAGGAGACGGCCTGCGCTATTGGCCGCTCCATTTCAGCACTGAACGGCACCTATGGCTCAAGCAAGCACGCGCCATGCTGCCTGCCCCGAGGGGCCATAGTCGGCAGGCGCTTTGGCTCACATACCATGGATTGTCGGCAGGATCTCCCTGGCGGACCTCCACTTCAGGGTGCCGCACCGTAGTAGATGGCTACAGGCTGCAGTTCCGGGCCCGCTCACCCGTTTTCAACGGGGTTGTCTGGACTGCGGTGCACTCAAGGCGGAGCCAGGTGTTGGAACGAGAAGTTTTCTCTCTACTGAACCAGGGGCCATAGAACGCATTCCCCAGCCAGTCAGGGAGTCCGGGTTCTACAGCCGGTACTTCATAGTTCCCAAGAAGGACGGAGGATCACGTCCGATTTTAGATCTACGGTTCCTGAACAAATCTCTGAGGAGATTCTGGTTCAAGATGCTCACCATCCCCGCCATCGTCAGTCAGATCCGATCCGAGGATTGGTTTGTCACGATAGATCTACAAGACGCATATTTCCACATCTCCATCCGTCCCTCTCACAGGAAGTTCCTGAGGTTCTCCTACGGGGCGTGGCATACCAGTATCAGGTTCTTCCGTTCGGCCTTGCACGTTCACCAAGTGTATGGATGCAGTTCTGGCCCCGTGAGGCTCCTGGGCATCCGCATACTGAACTACATCGACAACTGGCTCGGCACAGCGGTTCGCCATCGAGATGTCATCCTCGCCCACCTTCGGCGTTTGGGGCTGCGGCTCAACATGAAGAAGAGCGTGCTGACACCCGCCCAACAGACTACGTTCCTAGGGGTGGTGTGGAACTCGATGACGATGCGGGCCCACCTGTCGCCTGCACGCGTTGGGTCCATTGTATCCTCAGTAACCAGAATAAAGCTAGGCCGCTCCATCACTGTGAAACACTTTCAGAGAGTGTTGGGTCTTATGGCAGCAGCGTCCAGCGTAATCCCGTCTGGCCTGCTGCACATGAGAGCCCTGCAGTGGTGGTTAAAATCCAAGGGATTCTCCCCGAGGGGAAATCTGTTCCGTACGGATTATGAGCAGGTGCTTTCTTTCCCTGTCAGTATGGAAGAAACTTGGTTCCTGTCCCAAGGGCCCGTGTTGGGAGCGTCATGTCGCCGGACAATTATTTCGACAGATGCCTCACTCACGGGATGGGGCGCGGTCATGGACGGCCGCTTCGCGAGAGGCTCCTGGGAGGAGCATCATTTCTCTTGGCAAATAAATTGCCTGGAAATGTTGGCGGTTTTCAGAGCTCTGAGGAGTTTTCTGCCCGCTCTCCGCAGTCGCCACATCCTTGTCAGGACCGACAACACGGCGGTGGTGGCCTATTTGAATCACTGCGCTGCTGCACTCGCTACCATTATGCAAGCTGGCGCATCGGATCCTCCTGTGGTCCCAGCAGAGACTGCTGTCCCTCAGAGCGATGTACATCCCTGGGACCCAGAATCAGGGAGCAGACCTGCTGTCGAGACAGGGGCTGAGGCCCGGGGAATGGAGACTCCACCCCGAGGTGGTGGAGTTATTATGCGTAGAGTCGGCACCATAGATGTGGACTTTTTTGCGCCGCGAGAGACGACACACTGTCCTCTGTGGTTCTCCCTCTCGCCCCCTGCCCCGCTAGGGCTGGATGCCATGGTACAGATGCTTTTCCCCCAGTCGCTCTGCTTCCGGGGGTTCTGGAGCGGGTCCGTCAGGACGGTGTCAGCCTACTGTTAGTAGCCCCGTTTTGGCCGGCCCGAGTGTGGTTCTCTGACTTAATTTTGCTCCTAGAGGGCCCGCCATGGCAGGTCCCTCTGAGGAAGGACCCTTAAGATGGACTTTCTCCGCGCTATCACCTCTCTGAGGAGGTGGGGGATCTCCAGGCACTTTCGGTATCTGCCTGGAGTTTGCCCCGGGGAGGGTCAGAGCCATCCTGCACCCCTGTCCGGGCTATGTCCCTAAGGTCCCATCCAGGCAGGGTCCACGGTGCTGCAGGCATTTCATCCCCCACCTCATGTGACTTCATCTTCACCTGTCAGAGCACTCAGTCTTCCCGGTGGAGGAAAGCAGAGCAGTTGCTGGTGTGTTTCGGGTCCCCCAAGGCTGGGCTCCCCGCTTCCAAACAGCAACTGGATTGTTCCGACTCTACTCGGGGCAGGGGCGTCGCTCCAGGATTTGTGTGATGCGGCTGGCTGGGCCACCCCTCACACCTTCATCCAGTTCTACAGTCTGGACCTTCCTTCTGCACCCGTGCGCTCTCCTCCTAGTCGTGCCGTCAGGTTCTGCACGCTGGGGGCAGACGGGGTTTCGGCGCGGCCTAAGTGGGTATTCTCGTTCCCATAGTGTCGTCACCCACGCAGTTCGAGTTCCCTCAAAGGGGGACGTCTCGGGTTACGTATGTAACCCTTGTTCCCCGAGAAGGGGAATGAGACACTGCGTCGGTCCACCACACCTCACACCGCCTGGAGTGCCTTGCTTCATAGAAAAGGGCTAATGTGTCCTGTGTGCCGGCGTGCTTATATACGCCTCCAGTTACGCCGTCACACGCTACTGTTCTAGCAACACCAATAGGATTGGAGTAGTTTCATTCATGTTCAGCCCTGCCACGCCCAGAGGCGTTCCCATAGTGTCGTCACCGACGCAGTGTCTCATTCCCCTTCTCGGGGAACAAGGGTTACATACGTAACCCGAGAAGATTTCTGCTCACATCAGAGGATTTTTCTGTCGTAAAAATAGTCTTCAATATCTGTGTTTTTTCCAGTTTAATTTGCTGTCCAGGCAGACAC